TTTTTTTGGGAACATCTTGAGCCCCACTCGGCCTCGCACTTCTTCTACACTGGCTCAGCTAAGCTACGTTCGTCGTCGTCGTTCGTTTTCGCTCCCCCCCCCCCTCCTCTCTCTCTGGGAACATACATACACACACACACATACACACATACAATATATACGATTCCAGAGCCCCGGAAATAATTTCAAAAGAGCGAAAAAGGGTTGCCTGCCTGCCTGCCTGCCTGCCTGCTAGCTAGCTAGCTTGGGGTTGGAAGGGACTCATTCGAAAGCATCTATCTATCTATCTGGGTCCTGGGGGAGATTCTGCTGCTACATATGAGCTTGACGTGAGTAGACGTTGGCGTCGTTCGGGAGCCTTTCTCTGCTCTATCTCCGTAGATAGATAGATAGATAGATAGATAGATATGAATCAAAGGCGCTGCTTTTTCCTTTTTTATTCTTCTGTCTGAGAAAAACTCGCTGCTGGAATTCGTGCTTGCGATTTCTTTTATGATACTTGGAGTCAGAGAGAGAGAGAGAGAGAGAGAGAGAGAGAGAGATACCCAGAGACTGACTTCTAGCTAAGGCTCGCCTCACACCCAGGGAAATTTTTTTTCTCTTTCAGAGACGAGCGCAGCGACACATCTTCAACTGCTTTCTATGCTATGTATCAACATCTCTCTCACGGATAACTTACATACGTACGATACACACACATCCCCCTTCCTATTTTACATCCTCATCCAGAGCGCCGCCCTCTGGATCTCAGCAACGACACCGTTGCCAGCGAGCGCCCACTTCTCCGCCACCGTCTCCTCGTCAACCTGACACCTCAACACTCCACTCTTCGCCCAGTACTCCATCAGTCCTCTCGCTTCTCGCTTAGTCAATCCCTTCAACCTCATGACCTCCACACTACTCAGGACCTTGTCAGCCCTCGCATCGTACGCCTTCTCGAAAGGATCTTTTGGCGTAATGTTCCTGCCCGCCTGCCGATCTTCGGCCTGCTTGATGGCCAAGTTTAGCGATTTCGAGACTGGGGCATGAGAGCGACTAGTCGCCGCTAGCACGGCACCTCCATTCGGGAGCTTCTTGGTGCCGGAGAGGTGGTCCACGAAATGCCTGATGACAGCCAGGTCGTGAGCATGGATAAGGGAAAAATCCTGGGCGCGGTAGAGCGAGTCTTGCATGGCGAAACTTAAGCCGTCAAGACACATGAGAACTGGGGGATGTCCCGGAGTAGCGAGCTCTGACCAGAAGGCTTCGAACATAGGCCACGCGATTTCGGGGTCGCGGGCACCGAGTTCGCAGAGACGGAAGAGGGTGGTACCTTTTGGGACTGTAATAGGAGCGGTGAGTTCTTCGGGTAGAGTGAAGGATTGGAGGACAGCGATGTTGGCTTTTGCGATTTGGGAGAGCCAGTTGGCAATATATGTATTCTGGGACCAGAGGGTCGGGTTTGTGTTTGGTAACGCTGCGTACGCTGTCATGGCGTTTGTAACTTCTTGGGCTGCATTTCATTAGCCCAATTCTCCAATAGAATAAGTACGACGACAAACCTTCAGGGATATTGATCACAACCCAGCCCTTCGCAAACGCCGTGGCCATAGCACTCAACATCATCAGACTCTTTCCCGTCCCCTTATCTCCATCCAGCACCATCCTGATCGTCTCGGCCTTGCCCTCGGCCTCCATCATCCTCCTTGCCATGACTACACTCTCCCCCCTGATCAACACCGCAGGCCGCCGGAAAATTCCCCATCCCTGCGTCGTCTTGAAAGCCTCCACAGCCCTCAGACTGTCGACCGTCACCCCATTCAACCCTACCACTTGTCCCACCATCCTGGGTTCATCCTCCCCCATCACAACCGCCGCCAACGACCCTTTATTCGGTCGCGCCTCAGCATCCTGCTGCAAGAGCTCGTCCACAAGCTTTCCGTTCAGATCCCTGAGATCCTCAACTTCCAGCGCATTCGTGTTACTCAGCACAATCCTCTTCCGCATCGCCTTTCGCTCTCCAGCCGCGGGCGGCTTCCCCGTCTTCACAAAGGCCTTCTTCTTGATCCGCAGCGTCTTCGCACCTTTACTCTTTCCTGCCACCATCTTCGGTGTCTTGGTCGGGGGTCCAGCAGCCAGCATTGCCGTCGTCGAGAACTTCCGAGCAGGGGCTGCCAGCCTCACAGCCAGCGTAGGGGCGAATTGGGCAGTAACAGGCCTGGCAACAAGGCATTTCCAGCACTGAGAAGTCGACATCCTAGATATATGGCTGGCCTGACAAGGCGTTGTGGGGAGTCGTGGACCGATTCTTGTTCAATGGCAGTTCTGAGAGGGATGTGGAAATATATTAGCTCCGCGCTAAAATGCGGCCGCTTAAAGCAGCTCTCCAAAAAAAAAAAAGGTCCCTAGAAAATAGTTCATGGATAGCTTTGCGACGAACCGCCACCATCTCTCCTCCTCGACGGATTCCGGATCTATTCGAGAAGACAATGGCGACGATGGCGGCAAAAGCCGTGAAACTCCCCGTGGAGGTCAACAAGCCCACGCCATACACCTTCGACCTCGGCCTCCTGCTCGCCTCAGACCCAAACCCGGTCCTCCTCACGAGCCCGGAGAACCTCGAAGACGACCTGGCCGCCACGGCGCGAGACGGCGCCCAGGCACTGCTGAACCAGCTGCTCTCGACCTGTCCGATCGCCAGCACGCCCAACGGCGTCCTGCTGTCGCTCCCGGAAATCGAGACGAGGCTGCCGCGTGAGAAGGTACCAATCAACCACCTCCCCCCCCTCCCGCTCTCTTCCCTTACCTCCAGAGTGCGGCAGATTTTTTATTAACACACCAATCTCCACACAGCCCCTCCCGCCCCCCAAAGCTCAAACCACCTGGGAGAAGTTCGCCGCCAAGAAGGGCATCAAGGCCAAGTCGGCCGAGCAGCGCAAGAAGATGGTCTACGACGACGCGACAGGCGAGTGGGTGCCGAAATGGGGCTACAAGGGCGCCAACAAGGCTGGCGAGAACGACTGGATTGTCGAGGTCGATATGAAGAAGGAGGCGGAAAGGAAGGAGGGCACCGAAAGGCAGGGTGATGGGCGGAGGGAGAGGAAGGAGAAGGTCAGACGGAATGAGAGGCTGCAGAGGGCTAACGATCGGAAGGGGAGAAAGAATGGTGCGAAGTAGACTTACTTTGTGTGGAGGTGCGGTGGAATCATTGTTCGGCGTTGGAGGGACGGCTGGCTTACTGGAGTTTGGGTCGGCGGCGTCCATGCGTGAGAGCGTATGCACATGTGAGGAAAAAGCGTGTATTTGGCAAACTTATCAGGGAATCTTCCGGAATTATTACACTACGTTTGAATACTTCTGCGATCAAAGCAAGGAAAGTTGATTTGTAAATCTCATCGACTTTTGGATCGATATGTTCAACCACTTGCCCTCCTCGGATCATCCATCATCTCACAAACCAACATCGCATCGCCATAATCGTACAAATCGGATCTTTTTCTGGCAGAGTGTCACCGCCCCTGTTCCTGTCATGAGCGGCTCCCCTCACATGCAAAATCCAAAGAAAAGTAGACCAAATAAACTCCCGTTCCAGTCTCCCCAACACGCCATGACTTCCCCTATGCCTCCCAGCCCCAGTCCCAGCCACCTACACCTCCTTCACCACCCCTAAAAATGCTGAAAGAATGCCCGATCCTCCCACTGCAAAAAAAACGAATGCATCTGTAGGTGAGACTGGAACGAGAAAAGCGAATAAGAAACGACCATGCCATTAACCGTGCGGAACGCTTGGGTATTCAACAGACTCGAACCATGCGAACGTAGAAGGATGAAATGAATCGTAAAAGACATGCAGAGGAAGAGAAAACGCTCCAAGTCGGGTTGCCCTTCACCGCAGGTGAAATTCCCAAGGGGAGACTGTCCGAGGAAGCTGGAATCCGAGACAGGGGTTTTCGGTGCTACCGACTACTGCCAGAGACCTTGTCAAGTCGTGAGGGAAGCCCTTCCTTTCAATTTATGTGCCCTATTTGTCTCTTATAATTTGTCTGCCCCATGCTCGATAGAGTAAGGTAGGGCGGCAGCACAGGGTGTATCAAGAATCGAAAATCGCACGCCAACCCTAGTGCTATTAATCAACCGTCGAGCTCGAGCGAGTACCCCTCAAAACCCAATGGGACTTAGTGGCTTGATAGGACTCAAGGGTCTCATTTCGTTGCTTCGGCGAGTTGCTGCGGGGGGGCTCTCGTTGACAACGGTTAGTGCCGTATTGATAGTGTTAGAGGCACCTGTATTCAGGCTCTGAGGAGTCTTTTTGCTGTTGCTCCCACCGGCCTTCTGGCCAGATTGATCGATGCTTACACTACTTGGCTTGCTGCTGTCTGAGCTCGAGACATTGCGTTCGTCGTGACTCTCAACGGCGGTGCTGTCTCGTCCTTCGGCGGCCGAGTTGGAAACCATGTCAAATAGTATGTACTCCTGCTCGATGTAGAACTGCTCCGTCTTGCACCCCTTCCAACATTCCCTCCAGTTGCACACGAGGAACTTGAAGCAGAATGCGTCGATCTTCATGCATGGCTGAAAGCAGATGCACAGGTTTCGGTAATCCATCTTGTTCTTGTCGGAGTGGGCGAGGAGGAGCGAGAGGTGGCAGGTGATGGCGAAGAGAAGGTAGTAGTTGAATGGCGAGAGGTTGGAGAGTTCGTCGATCAGCAGCTGGGGAACCTCCTCTTGGTCCTTGTCGCATTCACGATTGATGCGATCCTGAGAACTCTTGGGGAAAAGTTCGTCCGGCAGCTCACGGAGCCAGGCCTTGAGCATCGAACCTATAATGTTTATGTCGTAAAGCTCATCTTGCTCAAAGAGATCAATGTCAAATTCTACCAACGCATGTCAGTAAGTATACTGGAACCTGTGAGCTGGAAGTCTTCAAATACCCTCGTCAAATCTCCTCTGCCACTTCTTGATCTGTGGGCCGCTGCCTGGTACTCTGTATAATCCCTCTACATCGCTGCCTTTGTAGTTCAAGTAGTCGATCGCTCTCCACGGGAAGGCTGGCATCCAGAACTCTGTCTTGTCCTTGGAGTCCTCCAACTTCTTCGAGATCCGGGTGAGCCGCGTCTGCTCTACCAGATTGAGGTTGAGGACCTTCAGCTGGTAGTGCTCGTCGTCGACCGGGGCTTCTTTCTCGTGAGTGCTTCCGCTCCGACTACCCCCTTTCCCGAACAGACCTTTACTCAGTGCTCCAGCCCCCTTGCTTGCAGAGCTTTTGAGGTTGTTCAAGAAACCCTCGCGCCCATGGCCCGAGGAAGAGGTATGTAGCCGAGCGTTGTCCTTGGGGATTGTGTGCGACCTGCCTTGTTCCTTTTGCTCTCGAAGCTTGCTACCCTCTTTCGGCGGTGGCATATCTCGAGTCAAAGATCGCTGTCGATCTTCGGAGTCCTTGCGAGGCGTCGAGCTTACCATCGATCTGAAGGACCTATTGTCGGGTTGGTCGGGGGGAGTATGCGTCGATCTCGAGTCGGCATTTTGTGTCGGATGCTTATCGGCTTCCGCAGCCTTGCTCTTTGTCGGCGAAGGCTCTCGAGGCGAATGATCGTCGCGGATCGACTTGGACCGAGACAGTATACTGAATGGCTTCGGTCTGTTCTTCTTTGCGCCGGCATTGCCAGTCGACGGGGGAGAAGAGGAGTCGCCGGTCGATTCGAGTGATACCTCCGAACGGGATGGCCCACCGACTGCTCTCCTCGCAATGGATCTGTCGAGACTCGATTCTGTTTGCGCGACTGGCGTCAGTGCTGTCCGTCCGGAAGAAGCAAAGATTCGTGTGGAGTTTATTTTCTCACCAGTTCTGGACGTGTCCTTGGATGAGACCCTCGCATGCATGGCAGGCCGGTCTGCGTCTCTGGACATTCTGTCCTCCTGCTGGCCTGCGGAACCCGTCCGATTTTTCTGTGAGCGGTTCGAATTCTTGGAGGCCTTGTAATTTGCAAAGAAGCCGCTCCGGGCAGGCCGCTCCTTCTGCTCTTGGCCCAGATCCGGCTGTAGTGTTGACAAGGTAGGCAAGATGTGCGAGGCCGAAAGGCTCCGGGTGGTAGAGGGGGTGTGCTGCGATTCGGCAGCAGCGGCAGCTTGCATTGCCGGGAAGTCGCTTGGTACCTTCTTTGATGAGCTCTTTGATGCGTGGAATCTGAAAGGCGATCGTGGAGATCTCGACATGGACTTGGAATGGGACTTGGAATGGGACTTGGCCTTGGACCTGGGGCTCAGAGGAGAGTGGGAGTCGGGCTCGTCGTCGACATCTGTTGAGTTAGGCAGCGTTAGCGGTAGGGGTATAGATTTGCGAGCCATGCTGCCCCTGGCGACGTTCGTTCGTTCGTTCGTACGTTCGTACGTTCGTTCGTTCAGTCGGTCGGTCGGTCGGTCTCGGTCGTTCGTTCGTTCGTTTGACTGTTCCTGATTGCAGGCCGTGGCCGTTTGTCGCAGGGTCGCCGGTGTCTCGAGCACAGCCTTCAACACTGTACCTGAGCCGTGTCACAGTTCCGAAGATAGAAGCGCTTGTTTAAAAGTGGTGCGTGCAGGATGTCGGCCGTCGGGGACTCGCAGTTGGAAATTCGGATTCGGACTCGGATTCTTCTGTTCGTGGGTTCGCGAGAGACAAACAATTACCGGTACTGGTGGTACTTCTAGAGGGTCGAGCGACGGGGTGAGGTCGAGGGCCAAGGTCGAGGTCGAAGTCGAGGTCGAAATCGATCTAAGGGCTGGGGGCTGCAGCGATCGCATCCAGAAACGGAATGCCCTCCTCTCCTCTGTTCTGTGATTCACGGGCAGCCCGTATTGTGCGTCGACGCCGCTGCTGGCGACCATTCCCGGCGGGCAGAGAGCGCTGAAACGTGTGGGTGGTGTTCGCGGGCGGGGAGTTTTGCGTATGGAATGTGTTATGCAGATGGCCGCGTCAACTGGAGGCAGCGCATCAGGGGGGGGGCGGGCGGAGGGGAGGGGGGGGGAGGGTTGGGAGGGGGGGAGGGTGGAGGGGGGGAGCCCGAGTGTCGGTCAGGCAGTTGTACCGGTAGTAGTGGGTAGGTCGCCTGGACTGGATTGGGTTGGGATCGATGAATGATGGGAATTGTTGTGGTTGTTGACCCGGACTTTGAAGTCGAGCTGGAGCTGGAATGGAGCGGTTGGCAGGAAGAGGGAAGAGAGAGAGAGAGAGAGCTGAAGTATGGATATGTGCGATGTGTGTTTGTTGATGGTTGACTGCGGTGGGTACCGGTATGCGCCGACCAGTATAAGAGGTTGTAGGTTTCGGGTCGGATGGTGGATGGGTGGTCGGTTGAACTCTACGCGTGCGTCCGTATGTACCGTACCAGTACTACTAGTATTCACTTCACTGCTACCGGTACCTACACCCTTTCTTTGCAATTCTCACCGCAATGCAGTCGGTAAAGCACCATACTAATTAATCAACCGCTCAATCACTCAACCGCTCAGCCACTCAGCCATCAATTTCTCACTCCGTATGGGCTGCACCTCCCAACTCCTCCTACCTCCTTGCCTGGCCGGCCTGGGCTGGTGGATGACAATCTGACAAGCTGACAAGGCCCGAACTCAGGAACCAAAATGCATCCCGAAACCCCCCCAGCCCCCAGCCCCCAGCCCCCAGCCACCAGCCACCGCAACTGTGACGCCACCGCCGACGATCCGACGCCGTCACTTGGAATCAAAGAAATCAAGGGGAATCGGGACACCGGAACCAAGCGGGCTGGAAACTATCGGTATCGTTGACAAATCGCGAACATCCTCTCCCAAGCCCCAAAGCATAAAGCCCAGATAAGCTCAGCAATCACTAAGCCAAAATTCGGTCAGCCGAAAGAAACTGACATACGGAAAGGGACCAGCAGTTGTTTCCGTCGAAGAGGCCCATCATCTCCAGAAAGTTCATCCGCTCTCTTTCATTGGGTTGCTCCGGGTTTCATCCTTCCTTCACTTGAGACGACCGAGTCGGCATCAGAGGCGGTCAGTGAGTCTCCTGAGTATCGTTTGCGCCTTCGTTGGAGAGGGAAGAGGCCTTCTTCTCTTCCGCACCCTTGAGCTTCATCGTCTTCGTCTTGGGATTGGCGCTGTTTCTGGTAAAGTAACATCAAGTTCTGCATCTACTACGTAGTAGTATGCTGGTGACCCGAGGAGCTGGTTCAACCATTCGGCTCCTGAATGCACTTGAACCTGACGGCTCTGCCGGCCGGTTGTGGCACCCGCCCGAACAAGGACAGCGCAGGAACGTAACCAACATGAGACGATCGCGGATATCAACCCACATTCAGGCTAGCTGGCGCTGGCGCTGGAGCCGGAGCCGGAGCTGGAGCTGGAGCTGGAGCTGGAGTAGCTAGGGAGATAGATGTACGGGTACAACAACAGCCATAGCGAGCATTTGGTCGGTGCCTTTTCTGGACTTGGACTTCTTGTACGCCTCGGTCCGTACCGATTGCCTTGCGTTCATCAATGTCTGAGCCTCTTTCCGTCAGCTCGACTACCGGCATTTCGTAGACTAGATAGACACGCCTGGAAACAGGGATCCCGTGACGCCAAGAAGCCGGAATTAGATGAGTATGCACGTGATACAAACCTTATTTCGATTTCGCCGACGCTCTCCGAAAAGTAACCTCATCCCTCATCCCTCATCCCTCAACCCTCAACCCTCAACCCTCATGCCGAATACTGGAGACGACAACCTCTACCAGATTGCTTGCCCTCCCCAACAGACTTTTCTTCAAGCCCTCCTCTGGCACTTTGCCGGGATCTCAGTGTGCAACGTCGCCGCTCGTGGATGCTCTCGCCGTTCAACAACCTCGAACAGATAGCGACGCACGCAGATGACATGTACTGGTCCTCTTGAAGCTGTCAAGGCTTTATTGCTCGCTCATCAATGGTGCTGGCGTGGTTGGGAATCTGCATCTTCGGCTTCGGTTTTGAAGACGGCATGTCCCTTGGACAGTACGGTACAAAAGGAAAAGGAAGTCCTCCTCTACATTCGACACGCCATGTTCCGGCACCCGCAACCCCATCTGAACGCTTCCAACTGCCCTGCAACATTACTATTGGGGAATATCTAGGCCTGGCTGCCACTTGGAGGCAGCCATATGACTGAAATTTGCGATATGCTGCCTCAATCTCGCGACTTCTTCTACCGGTGTGTCTTGTTCAGAGATTCCAGATGTTGACGTCGTTCTTTGGCGCGTATTGTGACCAGCAATTTTTAAGGTTTGGTTCGAACTAGTGACATCAGTCTCACGCTGTGTCGAAGCAATTACGCGGTGTCGAAGCAAGATGAGCACATCTTACCATCAGAACATATTTCAAACGGTTACAGGCTAAGGTCTGCAATCCTATCGTTTAGCATTTCCGGATCATGTTCAACTCGAATCAGCCAAGTTTTGCAAAGCACAAGGCGGGTTGGAGGCCATGAACTCTCAAAAGCCACTGTAGCTTTGTGACAAGCTCAGTCTGGACAAACTTTGTCTTAATTCATTCAACAACCGTATGGCCCCGCTTTGCATCCTTGGACGGAACTTCGTTTAGTGATTTTGCTTTTCTATGTGCCGGCTTCGACGGTCTATTCGGCGTCTTGAGCTCCCAACACCCTCCGTATGGGCCCTCCATTTCATTGCCCTTATTCAACCGAAGCGTTTATATTATGGATAGATTCAGGGGTTTGATATGCCGCTCGAGAGTTTGATATGCCGCTCTAGTGTTTGTACCAGGGTACCGGAACATTTGTCCGCTGGAACCGGAACTGGAACTTGCCTGGGCGGTTCGTTGGTGAAGGTATTGCCGGGACTGCCGGATGTGAGGATACCGGGGAATCTTTGGGTTAATTCGACAAGCCAGGGTCTCCTGAACTCGGCGCCGTGGTGGTATACGAGACTGGCATACCTGTTGCCGATGTCGTTGATGCTGTCCAATACATCGTGCCTACGGTGCTTCAAAGTACATTTTCCATGCTACTGTACCGGTAGGTCTAGAGGGGACTGTCGAACCTAGACTGGATCCCACAGCTAGTGGGAAAGTTTATCGATCCACTTCGCTTCGTACTGGCTTTACTACGTCCCAGGCGTAAGTATTACCCCTTGAGGGTAGGGTAAGCAGGGGGTTTATAGTGGGAACTAAACTTTTGAGGCACCCTCGAGGGCTAATACTTACGCCTGTACCGTGGTAGTTGGAAGGTTTATCGATCCACGTCGCTTCGTACTGGCTTTACAAGTACTACGTAGTACTACGTAGTAGTATGTACCGTACTTACCCAGAAGACACAACCCTGAACCATAATCGTCGGCTCGCTTAAGTAGGCCTCCTATAATCCTTTTTAGACGACGATGAGCTATTGTAAACGTCACAAGCGTGCTTTTACGCTTCCACTGAGGGAATCAACTCAATCCTGTGGTTGGACTTCATTGGAGAACGACTGTCAATTATTAAAAGAAAAAAAATTTAGAAACCGTCGTGCCCGTAAACTATCTTTTACTCTCCTCGGAAACAAAACGCCGAACTTTCACACCCGTCTGACTTGCTAACATGATTTCAGTCGCACATCAGGATCGGTGCTCGCAATCGTGGCTGGGTCCTTGAAAGTACTATACACCTATCAGTTATACGGATCAACTCACGGCCAAGTTGTTGTCAGCCGCAGCCACACCGACAAAGACCAGGCGGTCGGTAATCGTCGGTTTCCTTCAAATCCCATTCGAAAGAATTGACCGACTTGCGGCAGCAGCAGCAAGTCGGCACGTGCCCACCAAGGCGGGAGGGACCGTAAGATCTGCTCTCTCTCATCACACATAGAAATTCAACCAACCAACCAACCAACCAACCAACCCCCATCTCGTAATTATTTTCTTTTCTGTCGGAAACGATGCACCGTCTCTCGAGTTTTCATCCTATCCCATCAACCAAACTCCTGTTACGGATTTTTTTTCTTCTTCTGTTGTGCTGCGCTGAAGTGGTGAAGATGGTAGGTAGGTACTGTTGATATGTGTGTACTTTTGGAATTTTTACTACTGCGTAAGGTAGGTATGGAACGGAATTGCGGTGTGTACGTACATACTAGATGGGATAGGTAAGTGAGGAATAGGAGAAGATTGGATTTTTTGGGTTTATTGAAACCTGTCGAGAGGATATGTGTATTACTATCGACTTTTATATTAAATCATTGTTTTCGATCTACGGGACGTTTTTTTTTTTTTTTTTTTAATTTGAGGTTGTGGCTGTCAAGATATTCGTAGCAAACGAGTAAATTGGAATTATTTAGGTCTAGTTTTTTTNTTTTTTTTTAGCTACATTTTCATTGCGTTTTGATGTATTAGATCACCACAAATGAATGCATCTTTATATTTTCAATTTACATTTATGAAGCAAAGTTTCTCTAAGCATATAAACATTTTTTTTAATTTATATTTATATTGATAGTTGCTGTTTGATGAGTCGTATACCGTTTACTGTCCGGCCTTGGTGGTGCCGACCTGGCTGCGCCGCCTGGCTCGGGATTTTTCTACAGATGAAACTCGAGGTGACCGACGATTGGTCGGCGCTGGGAGAAGCCTACTGTATTTATTGCTGGAGCGTTTTCTCCGCAGTACTTGGGTGGGTATATCGTACACGACACGATACCGGTATACATACATACGAGTAGAGGAAACCAGGAATGGATGCCACGTGTGCTGGGTGGGGCATCCGTCAATACTGTGTGGAGGGAGGGAGGAAAAAAGTATAGATGTATCGTTGACCTAGAAATAATTAGCGGATTTCGAATGATGGTCGGGGAGGGGAGTCTCGCTCATCGTGTTGATATGGGTGTTGTTGATATGAGTGCACCGGCCCCCCTTCCTTCCATCTTTGAGCCGGTGTTACTACAGTAGGGGATGCACAGGCGACGCCCGTCTAGGTAAGGTAGGTAGGTGTCTCGACCACAGGTCTTCATAGGTTCAATCGTTATCATCGGATATCGCCAGTCGTCCTGTTCGTTCCCGACCATCGTCATTCGTATACATCCAGCTTGTCCTCATAATATTGTTTTTGTTTCTCATCTTGGTGCCGGTGGCAGTGGCAGTGGCACTAACCACAATCTCTATCCATTTGATCGGGCCAGGAAAAGATAAGGTAAAAAAGGCATCGCGTAATACCAGAAAAAGTGTCCTGGACAATCAGGATTCTACTAATCATAGTTCTTAAAACACATTGGATTAAATTATACCAAAACCCGAGAAACAACCTGCTGGGGAGAGCAAGAACGCGAACCTTGGCCCTTTTGAAGTCGTCCCCTTACCCGATTTCGACTGGAGAGTAACTGCCCCTCCCTTCAAGATCCGTCCCTCCAACACCCAAATACCATCCGACAATAGGTGTGAAAATCCTCTCGGTCAGGATTTGACCCGCTCAAGTTCTCCATGTGGATACACAGGCCAGTGGACTGATACGTTCCAGGCGTCAGCAGCTCTGATCGTTCAGAGCTCATAGGAATGGACCAGAACTACCTACCTCGACTCCGTAAATCTACGCGAGAAGGTCTGACAAGAGCATCATAAATAACATAGCATTTCAAGCTACGCCCGCAGTCAAACCGGCCGTCGACGAGGCCTACATCTGGCTTGTAACTAACCGTGTACTTACTTACCTATTCGGTACCCGACAATGTTCGGCATCTCTCGAATTAGACTTCTGAATCACACTACATACCGGCATCTTTATCTTCAGCCCTGTCGAGATCCGCTACACCTTCTAAAGACGGAGATGGATACAGACTAGGAGGGATAACCATAGTCCCGTCCCGGGATACAAGCCGAAGCTTGCTCGAGTTGAGTATAGACAGATTCCTCGACAGGCTGGGAAGTAGGCCAAGTCGTCCAAAGGGCCAACGCAAGTTCCCCAACGAGCAAGCTGTGGGCTGGCTTCCCGACTGTCTCCTAGGGGTCCATCGATACCGAGGAGGAGCAATTCGCATCAAGTAGACTGCCCCTAGAAACCAGACACGAAGAAGAGGTAAATTTCATCGCTGAGACAAGTCGCTTCATCACCAGCCCGCACCTGACATGTACACCTCGCACCAGTCCGTCTTTAATAGACTTTCCTACGCTGCGAGCGGTAACTCATGCACCGCCTTCCAACCACCAAAGGCCTCGTCTTCAACTTCAGAACGTACAACCAATGAGGAGGGTCTAGGCGAGAATCTCGCCTAGAGATCGATGGCCTGCCTGAAGGAAGGCAGGACGCTCACAGTTGCATCTCTGTAAACGTGACGTCGTATGGAGCGAGGCCGTCAAGGCATACCGGGCGGAGTTGGGGCCCGGGCAGAGAGAGAGACTTGCCCAACGCATGTCTACTACATATGTACCAGTAAGCTGTTCCACACAGACCATGCGGATTCCCAAGGCGTACATGTCGGCGCGAGAGACGTAAAAGGAACAGAGAAGCAGGCATCATAGGAGATAGGATACAACCACTGGACAAGAAAGCCTTTCGTTACCGGAAGGGGAGAAAAAGAAAAGACAAGCTTCGAGCACCGCAGCTCAAGCATTCGCCAAGTATAGTATTGCGTTCAGCGACCTTCCAATCCCAACCAAAGTCCCCGAGACCCGATCGATCGATAACCCACGTCTTGAGACTCAGGTGGGCTGATCTTTGCTCGGGCATCCGCCCTGTCTAGATGCTTGATACAGCGGCAACCCAAATCAAGCACACAGGCCGATGTTTCCCGCCCCGTCAGAGACGCCGAGATCTGCGAATGGGCATCGGGTGGGCGGGAAGGGCGTCGAAACCATGCGACGGAAGACCGTGCGAGTAGGAAGATCCAGATATCAGGTGGGACAGCGCTGGGAGGGGATCTGGGTCGGGGGGCTCTCCTCAGAAGGCCGATATGTAGAAATGATACAAGTGGAGGACTGCCCGCGCCACACAGCATAGGACCCTCCACCTCTCCATTCTCGATCATCCATCGTTGACTCCAGGATGCGTCTCCGCCCTCTCCTCATTGCTGCCGCAGACAGGCCGCGCCGAGGCTCGGACCACTCTAAGCGACTACGTCAACAAAGCCAAGCGAAAATCAGCACAGCCTCCTCGCCCAGTCTCCGGCGACTACAGAGACAGAGGTACAGTAGAGACACGCAGCGGTAAGTGCCCTGCGGCGTGGGCATCGCTCGTCTCCGAGCCGTCAGCCATGCTCATTGACAGATCCGTGTCCTCGTCTCACCGTAACGACGATGCCAGAGCCGCGATCCGGGTGTCGCGTACCCTGCGGCGCCGCACACCCCTTGCCGAACTGGCCGAACCACTGCTCTTCCGCGGCCTTCGGGCAATCCGACATGTCTTCCGGGGCAGCACAGGACGCCACCCCGGAAGTCCGGGCGGAGGTCCGGGACGTCCGTTACCACGCCGACACGACTCAGCCCGCCACAGGACGTGTTGTGTTCCCGTTCGAGCGCGACAGGAATCCGGCGGCGCACCCGATGGTGGGCCAAGGAGTCCAGCGGGGCTCGTAGGGAGAACGGGGGAAATTGACGAGTTGCGTTTGCGAGCGCGACGGCGAAGATGGCGTTGCGGGGTGTTCTTGTTCCTGTTCCTGGGGGTAATCGATCGGAACTTGGTGGATTGTATGTACAGGCGTGCTGCCCAAGGGGACCAGTCCAGTGTCAAGAGGGAGATGGAGGGGATGGCTATCAATGCAATGAGCAGGTCGGGTGCGGTAGATGTGGGCCGCCCGGGTGGGATTCGGGTTCTGATATCTGACGTTGAAGTGAGTCTTGGGATTGGGTAATAATAACCTACCTAGACCCAACTTGAATGAATTGCCCCGTACCCAAGAGCACTGCACTTGTGACGTCCACAACTGAGTCTCGCCAACACCTTATCCTGCACACAATATGAAAGAGAAGAGCTTCGAAAATTCCATAGATTCAATTCAGACTCTGAATCCTATGCCGACTAGTATAACCAGCCAACCTGATGGTATGTAGGCGCGCTGAATCGTTTATCTCGAGAGGATCTAGCACCGACATCATGTCCCTAAGCGACCATAAATACAAAACCGGCCCAGTACGTAAGTACAAAACCGACCCAGTACGAGATTCCCTGACTCCCAACGTCTGATGATCAGAGGTTGAACTTGTAGCCAGAAGTCAGATTTCCCACTTTCCTCGAGCTCGTTCTCCTCTTATTCTCCTTTCCGGTATCAAGTTGCTGCGTATTCATATTGTACAGTTTCGGACTCGGGATACCACTATCGCTCGTTTGCAAAGCCGCAATCTCGAGCGACAGCTGATTCCGGGCCTTCTTGGCTTGTTTTTGCTCCTCTGATTCTGACTCGGAGCTATCTGAATCCGAGTACACGGTGACTTGTGCTGGCTCCTTTGACCTCGAATTCTGAGCCACGGTCTTGACGGCATCGTCGTCAGATTCCGAGGAGTCGGAGCTGCTCTCCTCCTCACTGTCATCAATATCCTCACTATCCTCATCATCTGCCAGTAACTGAGTTCGCTGGCCACTTCTTCCCTTAGGGGCTTGAATTGCGGATGAAGTTGCAAGAGCCGACCTATTCCGGGTTAAGCTGCTCAAGCTGGTGCCGAACTTGATAGCCGGCCTAGGTGCAATGCTGGAAGTTGGTGGGTAGACAATAGCACTAGATTCCGGGATCATCGAATGAGCTTCATACATAGAAGAAGTTAGTTGCTGATCGATCTCCTCTTGTGTGTTGTATCCCTCGGAGGAGGAATCCTTACAGTTACTTTGACCACGTCCATTCGGCTCTGGACTGGCCTTGACAAATTTCTTGTGTCGTGGAAGATGTGGGCTTGAGTGACGAATGTCTTCTTCCGCGTCCTGCTCCTCGTCCCCATCATCTTCAGCTGCATCGGAATCATCTTCTGAGCTGACATTTTCATTCGCTTTATCAATCACGAATTGGTTCTTGGCTCGGGGTATCCGCTTGCGATTGCCTCCCATATCCGAATCCGAATCCTCCTGCTCATCTTCGCTGGCCTCGAATTCGGAGCCATCTTCGGACTCGGGCGATACAGATCGTCGAGGTTTGCTAGGCTTGCCCATACTTGAATGCTGGGTGAACACGACTGGAGAGCGGCTTCCCCGTGAATCATGGCTCTGAGTCTCTTCCTCATCGACTCCCTTATCCATATCAACATCTTCCTCGCTGTCGGACACATCTTGGTTGCGCGACGCCTCTCGGACAGGCTGTGCTCTTTTAAGACCATTCAGTCCAAACGACGGCTTCTCCGGGATTCGTCGGCTCGGAATATCCTCATCGGACCCGTCCGAAGAATTACTAGAAACAGACATGGACTCAAGTTCCGACTGGACAGATTTTGATTTGCCTGAAGATAAATGTTAGCAGGCGCCAAGATACAACCAGATATCATAATGGAGTCGTGGAACATGTGCAGCATTTCGGGGAAAATACCTTTGGCCACAGGAGCAAGAGTAGTGCTTTTCCTCGAGGAGACTTCAGGAGCCGGAGTAATGCTCTTTCTGGCAGAGTTTTTAGCTGGCGGCGACATCTTGCTGGTAGACTGAGATCCAGGAGTGACACTCTTTCTAGCGACTGGAATTTCAGGTACGGGAGTACCCTTTCTCGTGGGTTCAGGAGGAGTCGGATCCTTTGGAACAAGGGTAGCCTTCTTTTGTGCAATTGGTGTGATTTTGCGTCCAAGGCTGGAGATTGTAGGTGGAAGCGGAATTGGTGTGTACTTCCTGACCGGTGGAGGAACTGTGAACTCAATTAGCGAGGGGCATCGCGAGCATACGACTTGGACTCACTCGGCGTGACTTGAGAAGGCTTTGGGGCGGAGCCTGTAGGGACTGCTGTGTGTGGAGCTGGAGCAGAGCCTTTGAGGGTCTCGCTTCTCGGTATGACGGCCTTGTGTTGTGCTTGTGGCGTAACGGCAGCTCTCGGAACCGTAACAGGAGTCGAGGTCTTTGGTTTGGAGACAATTCTAGTTGGAGGCATGACGGGCGTCTCCTTTCGCTCATGCTCATCACGGAATGACACCCGACGATTTACTGACTTCGGCAAAGACTCGTCCGCCGATTCTCTAGAGCCAGCTGGTGAAGAGCTTCTCAACGCTTGAGAGGATGCCGAATGCTTCAGAGCTGATTTTCTGCCTCCAGGAATGAAAGGTGTGGAGGACTGGACGTTAGAGTTCGATGATGGAGTTCTAGATGGGGGGAGAATTGGCGTATGTGATTTCGGTTCTCGAGAATTTTCGGGCGGGTGCGTCTTCTCCTTCTGCTTCAGAGCTTCGTTTGACTTTCTCAACTCCTCAGCAGCAATGTCCACTGCGCGCAATCGCTGGGCCTCGTCTATTGCGGCCTTGTCCTGCGCCAAACGTTCCTCCTGGACCCGCTTTTCTGCCTCGGCCTTCTCATTTGCGATCCGAGCTTGCTCGCGACGCCTTTCCTCTTCCACCACCTCCTGCTCCTTCTTCAATAGAGCAGCTTTAGTAGCAGATGCCTTACGTTCGGCCTCTCCCCGCTGGAAGTTCTCAACCTCGATCTGCTCCTGTTCCTCTCGTTTGGCTCTCTCCTCCTCGGCCTTGCGTCTCTCTTCGACTTCTCTCGCTTCCTTAGTTTCCCGTCTCCGAAGATCGGCTGCCTCGGCCGCAGCAATTCGAGCCTTTCGGATCTCATCCGCTTGTGGGTTCTGCCTCTCCTCTCGTTGCTTACTATTCGGCGTCATCGGTAGCTCTCCAGGCGTCGACTGTTCGCGGGAGGCGGAGCTGCGTCGATTTCCATTGGGAGGAGTACTAAACTTGTTCTTGGCCCATGCCGGACCTGACAGACCTGAATTGGGGCTATTGCGAGTCTTCGTTGCAGAATTTTTGGCTCTTGAAATAGCAGTTTTCTCGTCGTCCGTCGTGATTACGTCATATATGCTGTCCTCGTTACGCTGACCTGATCTTCCACTTTTCTCCAATACAGTGGGGCGAGACTCTTGTCTCCTATGGCTGGTAGATGAGACACCATTCTGAATGGGGCGCTGTTCAATTGACATCGGACTGGTAGCTGCAGCTGATACAGATGTTCCACGCTCGGTAGCTCTCTGTACATGATAATTTGCGCTCTTTGCTCTTTGATTCGATGTTTGCGACTGCGCTCGGACGGGTTCTTGTGCCAACGGGCTTGAATGTGAGAGCACGGTGGTATCGTTGTCCGGCTGTCGGTTCTTATGATCAGCTGAGCCTCTCTCGTGAGACGGTAAAATCAACGCAGGAGGTGGAATCGGCGGAGGGGTCTCACGAATCTCGTTCACCGTCTTGGGGAGTGAAGTGATTCTTACATGTCGCAAGCTCTTGAAGGGTCCTTCGGGGTTGCCCAGTATCACGCTCTCTTGAGAGTTGGGGACAACATTGAGATCGGGTATGTGGCCATTCGTTTTCGGGCTCTCATGCACAACCTCAATATTCTCCCGCGAGGGCAAAGGCTCATCTGGGTCTGCCACCCGTCGGCGCTTGTTGGAACTCCACGAATTTCCTGGCGTTGATCCATTCGCTCTTGGAACTCCATCTCGTTCACGTTTGAGACTAACGGCGGGGTCGAATCGAAGGGCGGAGTTGGGCGCAACCGAGTCGCGAGCACCTGGAACCGAAGAGGCCTGGATACATCGAATTGTAGACATTGATGTGAATAAGTTTCCCAGAATCTCACCCTGGGTAATGTCGAACTGCTGGTCATCCTGGACCTTCTTGAGAGAGAGTGGTCTGCCCCACGTTAGCACCGGTGGGAAAGGTCGATCTGGCGCAGATACGTACGTTCCGTAGTTCATCTGATGGATCCTCGAAGCCTCCAGACAGAACTCTTCGACGGTGCAATCTGGAGACGCAACGACGCGAAAATTGCGAATTGGCTTATCGGACGAGTCGTACGCGTCTGGGGCGAAGAGCTGGACTCTGAGGGAGTAGCCGGCGGGCATTGGAGGACCCATTGGAGAGTCCATCTGGCTCACCTTGCTCAATTTGACCGTGGAATAAAGCGCCAGCAAGCTCTCGCGATCGAGGTTGAGAACGATGAAGTTGCAAAAGTGTAAGGGGGGAAGAGGGGTGTGGTCTCAATTTAAGGTGAAGAGGCGCGTTAGGTACGTGGAAAAAGGAACATGCTGTGAACTTTCTTAGCCAGGACGCGATAAGGTTTCGGCTCGGCCTTTAAGCGACCGCTGCGCTAGAGGAGAAGCGACGCTCACCTTCTGGAACAATGCGAAGCGGTGATTTGGAACGATGATATGTGCCATTATGGTACAGATGAGCATATATCAAGAGCAAAATCCTGGGCTTGGTTTGCCTACTTGGGGAGGTTATCGAAGATGGGCAGAAGTTGTTTGCTTGTTCGTTTGTTTGTTTGTTTGTTTGTTTGTTTGTTACTCACCCTGGCAAAAGCGATAGCCCAGGTACACTGATACAAGGAGATGTGCACATGGCGTTCAATGCTCTTCAACACAAGCAGTCTCCTGGGCACCTATCTATTCGATAGGATACAACTCGATTCTACCGTTGTATCATCAACATCCCTGGTATTCCACATCGTTACCGTAACAGTACTGAATTCTACATTCTCTTTTCATATACATCAGGAAATCCTCAGATCTCTCGATATGCAATCCAAAGTCCACCGGGAAGAAAGGAGGCCCTCCTACCATCCGTTCATATCCTGATCTCACAGACCACCCTCTCATCCAAACTCCATCCAAAACAACCAATATCTCCCATCAAGCTGCCATTATAGCTCTCCCATCGCAAGCCCTCCATCCTTCAGCACCCACCTCGTCCGCACACCCATCAACCACCTACACACCAGCAGCACCCCAACGACAGCCTGCACAGCGGCCACCACCAGGAACACCACCACCCACTTCCGGAGCTTGAACGCGTCCTCCATCTCCGCCCGCATCATCTTCCGCTGCTTCGTATGCCAATGCCACGGCTCCTCCTTTCCCTTCTTCCTGCCCTTCCCATTCGCACCCCGATCCCCAGCCCCAGGACTCCCCTTCTCCTTCTCCTTCTCCCGAGCATCCGGCGACCTGACATACGAATAGGGACCCCCACTCACCTCCTTGAAGATGAGGCCGTGAAGCAGGAACCGCACGCGGCCGAGCAGCGTTGTCGGGGGCGCGCGCGACGGCGAGTGCGAGTGCGTGCGCAGGGAGTGGTTGCGCGAGTCGACGAGCGCGAGGGAGAGGATGAACGAGAGGAACGCGAGCGGTGTGATGAGAAGCTATGTCGTTCCGATCAGCAGAGCATCCCTCCTCCACGGACTCGAGCCGTGAGAGAAACATACCCTAGAAATGGCGCTCTCCTTGGGCGATTCCGGTAGCGGGCGGATCCCCGGCGCGGACGAGCGGGCGGGAGATGCCATTGGTGCTCTCTTTCTCGATTCTCGGGATGTTTGGCTTTGTGGATTTGGTAGGTTCGTGGACCGTTCAAGCCGCAGATACAAGTATGCTTCCCATTAAGAAATGCTGCGTAGGAACAAGTGCCCCTCCTTGTTGTTACTTTAAGGGAAATCATGAATTATGGGGGAGGCTGTAGTCGCCAAGCCTCGAGCCCGCGTCGTCAACGTAAGGCTGAGCATTCCCAAAATAAATACTTCTGCATACTCTGTACGAAGCCTTTACTTTACGTTCATCAGTGCCTCAGACAGTCGGACACTTCTAATAATTGGACATTTCAGATGGACAGGCGCCTATGTGGAGGTGTAGGAGGAAGGGTGGCCCAAGCGATTACGAGGTGTCCATTTATTATCATTTGCACAGAGGAGGGACCGTGTGCCTCTTGGCGCAAAGAGAACAAAAATCGAACAAAAGATCTCGCCGAGCCCAGAAACTGCATTTGTCGATTTCGCCCCTTTTGAAAGGCTTTTGAAAGGGAGTGGGTAAGCCGTTATAAATAAAGACCTGCATGAAGGAGCTATCGGAAAATCAGCTGATCGTCTGCGTCTGATGATGATCTCTTTTGGAGACGGTCTGAAAAGATTGGTATGGCTGGTGGATCACCCCAGGTCTATACTTGAATTGAAGTCAAGCCGGCAAGTACCGGTAGATCATTTAAAAATTCTCACCGTTGCTGGAGTGGGGTAGTTTTGGGAAGTAATCGACTTAATACAGTACTATGTTCGTCGCTTGTAAACGCTCGTCTTTTCGTTTAAAGACCGTCCTGTGGCCGTCCGACGGCCCCGAAATTTGATCCCCGAGAACTGAGATTAGTAAGCAGATAGGTACCGTAGTAGGTAAGTAGTAAAACTTGCTGTTCCACTAGGTAATCAAACATAAGCGAACTTTTGCCGAATCGATCGATTCCGATTTCAAACCTCTTGGAGCGCTGCTACGTAAGCTGCTTGCCATTTACGTCCACTTTCTTCCTAAATCATCAAGAAAACGATAGCATCAGAAAAAGAGTTTCTACGTTCTAATTATTTCTCTCGTAAGAGGATCGATGTACTGTTTTCAATATTTAGAATGAGCTCTCCAATAAGCGTATCTGAAATCTCCGAACGGGGACGGCCATAAGATGGCCACGAAACGGGTCTCCTTTCAACGGGGTGGTCTTCTCGGTAAACTATTCCTGAATAGAGTTCAATAATGACTTTAGATTGTCAGAGGACCGCTGAAATGACCTCCTACTTGTCTTTAAGGTAAAGTGTGCCGGAAGCACTCCGTCAAGCCTGTTGTTCTTAGCCGCCCCTCTTGTGTTCGGAGTAATACAATGAGTAGCGATAATTAGCCGCACGATAATTAGCCGCACCACTAATTATAGCCGACGTATAGATCCTGAGTACAGTTGCTGATATTAATAAAATGAATGTGATATTAAAGAGAAAAGGTATCTCGTCGTGCACCTAGCTTAGATCCATTTCAACTTACTTTTCGTTTCGTTTTGCAAGCTTGATCCCCTTTCGTCGCTCGCACCATGCCGCCGCTAGCGAAGTCCATTTGCGCAATCTTGCTAGCCGTGAGCTTTCTCTTTGATAGAGCTCGAGGATTTCCCTCAGGAGGAACTAGGGTAACCATCGGCTATCGAACAGTAAGCCGAGTAAGTTTCACCCGATTGCATCGTCGGTCTACCTTTTTGCGCTCGATCGGTACTCTTTTCTTCTTTACAATAATACTTAAAAAGGCAACCGGTGATCACAGAGCATGCATAAATACTAATCACGCGAGTTGTAGGAAGAAGCCGAGCTTATCAATTTTCTCCGTCAGCCATTTAGAGATAGAGAATATGATGAAGAAGCTGATGGCTTGAATCAATTAGGACATGGCTTTTACATGAGTGAGTTAAACTTCGACTTCTGGATCGCTCGTTCTTTTATCAACGCGACAGCTAAGACTCCCGTTAGTAAACGAACCTGCTGGCTGGCCAGGTCGTCCATTGGAGGATAATTGGTTTTGTGTTATCAAGGCAGATGGTGATAAGGTTAAGAATGCGGCCAAAATTTACATCCCAGAACGTTATTCGAAATTGACCTGGAATGCTCGGACTGAGGAGGTATACTTGTGGGCCGGAGAAGAAGAAACCGTCCTTGAATACATCGAATCGATGATCCCAAACCCCGAGCGGGCGCTGCGCTTCTCATGGATCGTAGCTGGAGGTTCGATGCAGCAAATGGTCATTCCAAGTGATATAATAAATTACAATGAGCTGGATATGTGGGCCCAATGCTTTCAGACAGCGGAAGAGCTTTATCGATGTTCGAGCGAAATCATTGATTGGAAGAGTTGGGAGATTACTGGGAATCCTGGAATACCTGGCTCTGCAAATTACATTCAACCGGATTTCTGATGGATTCTTGTTGTTTGTAAGGCTCACCATGATAGGGAGTCACTATTCGAGGTTTCGATGATGCTCCGTTGGTATTCGGACTGATCTCTAGCCTTCTAAACTCCTGAACTCCAGGGGATTCTCAAAGAAATGTGGCCTATCTGGAGCACGTGCCCGAGCCAAGCCTGCAGAGATTTGAGCGGTCTTCTGACCTTCTTCTATAAAAGACGGTTATTAAAGCGTTTAAAATCAGTACTAGTTACCAATCAAGAATAATGGATCTATTAAGCTGCAAACCTTTGCGCAACTATAATATAATAAGCAGGGAGTGGCTCGTCAATTGCAAATGGCCTTAAGCCAAAACCATGGCCCCCCACCCCAAAAAAGGCGCCCACTTAAACTCGCTAAGTTAGCGACCCGAAGTAAACAAGCCCAACTCAGAAGTAGCTATCCACGACGTCGATGCCCGCACGAATCGCAAACTCCACCGTCTCAAACGCATTCAAGCCACTCGCAAAGTACGTCTTCTTCGAGCCCTGCAAGGCATTGAACTTGCCGTACCAGCCATTCCTCAGCTCCTGGGGCCCGAAATGCGGGAAATAGTCATTTTGCTGCAAGCCCACGATGTCAGCGTCCGTGACGACCTTTGCAACCGCCACCGAGTCCCGGGGATCCTTGTTGATTCTCGAGAGCGTCTGCTTAAGGAGGGTGCGCGCGGTGGGGAGGGAGGTGTTGCTTCCCCACGACCACGCCGTCGCGATGTCGGAGGTGCGGAAGAGGTGGACGAAAGAGATCGGGGCACCGGTTGGTGTGACGGGGATCGAAGGCGCGGGGTTCTCGGCTGCGAAAGTGAAGTTGCGCGGTGTTTGCAGATGTACTGCGCTGGAGAAGTAGGAAATTAGCTGTATGGGGGAGAAGACTTCGGTTTCGGCGGGTGTGAGGGTGAGCTTTGCGGCTTCGAGGGCGGGGACTGTGGGCGGGAAGGCAAGGATCAGGGAGGAGCAGAGTTGGATTTTAGGGATTGAGAAGGCGCCGTTGTTGCCGGAATTTTGGTAGGTGATTATTGGGAAGCGGCCATTGCGGTCTATTGTAGGAGTTAGTGTGGCGAATGCTGGGTGGCAGGGAGTTCTAATACCGATCTTGGTGATTGTTGTACGGAGGTGAATAGGGCCTCGGATGGATTTTGCGTAGTTCACAAACACTTTATGGAAGTCGATGAGGTAGATACCGTGTCTTTGGGCGAAGAATCCGAGGATGTCGGGCGTCAAGTATTGGAGCATGTAGAGCTAAGATATCGGAGTAAGCATATGTGAGCATGCACTGGAAGTTGTTGACTTACGATCGGAATTTCTCTCAGATCACCATAGCCGAATGGTAGCATAGCCGGGACAAACAACGTCGGTAGAGCTTGATAGTTGTTGGTTGCTAGCCATTCAGCTGTAGTCACTGCGAGCTCTGCCGGCACGCCATTCTAACATTGTCAGCAGAGGATCCAACAGAGCTCATTCAGATATAAAAGTACCTTATAGCCAATAGCAGTGTATGGAGCAAAGACGGTGGTCCAATAATCAGAATAACGTTGAAACTCCTGTGCTACGAGCGTGGCGAACGCAGCAGGAACAGGAGGTGACTGAACAGTGAATCCAGTAGTGATGTTGTACACCCACTTCACACAAGTCAGCACTGCCATATCGGAATTCTGGGTCTTTGGTAGATGACAAGAGAGCTTTGGACATACGCGTTGTCCAACAATATACGGAATAGCAGGAACACCAGCCACATCCAATACCTTCAAAGTCTCGGGGTAGCTCGCATTTGAGAACAACAGAGCACCAAGGGGATGGAACGCATCTCCACCTCTGTTCACACTTCAGCCTTAGTCCAGACCCATCTCGAATACGGCTCCAGGAGTAAGCAGAGAAACCCACTGATCATAAACAGCCTGGCACTTTCCGCCAACCTCCTGTCGCTTCTCAAATACCACAACTTTTTTCCCCTTGGCCTCCAACTTCTTCGCAGCAAGCAAGCCGGCCGGTCCAGCACCCACAATGCAAACTGGGAAGGTGTAGGGTGTCGCGTTGGCAAAACCAGTAAGTGCAGATACCACTGCCGCGAAGACGAAAGCTGCCTTCATCTTGAGAGATATTAGAGAGCTGGGGCCTTGAGGGAAGTATTCCAATGAGACTTGTTTAGGGAATATAAAGCTAACTACTGTTAGAAGAGTGGCGTATCCCAAATTTGCAGATGGCGGGCAAAGTAGAAACAAACAGCTTGTGTAGGTACTTATACACAAAGAACTCGCACAAAGTGTTCATCGGAAACTATCTCACGAGGTATGCATTTGAAATAGCCAAAGCGGCACGTCCTACCTCATTTAACTGAATACCATCAAGGCTGAGAGCTGAGTCGAACACGCCACATCTCATCCATTCGTTCATTCGTTCAAGAGAAGAGCCAGCATGGAAAACCGGCAACACGACTGCTCAGCTTACGGTCTGCTTACTAGCTTCTGATCCCGTGTCCGGCGTGTCCGGGACACGGGCGGGCAAATGCGCACATGTGTTTTATTGCAGGTATTTCATCGTTCTCGTGGCGAGTAAGAGGGGGGGTTGTACACAGGTGGCGTAGGCCTTCGTCACTGGGAGAAGACACGGAGTCTTTCAACAGTACCTCACCGGTTGCGACTTAGACTTGCGCTTGGTCAATCGAAATCAGAGCAATGAACGAACGTGACACGTTCGCTGCGAATGACATGCCGTAATTGAGAGTTCCCGATCACCACCCATCGTTGTTGGCGGGCGTCTCGCTTATCTGGGTACCACAACTCCTCAAGGAAGAGCGTGGTTTGACTGGCGCCAAGGTTACGCACACATTGGTAACAGAAGACTGACCTGAAAGCTGGAAGGAGGGGAATCAATGATCGATGCCAGGTGAAGCAAATTTCTATGGGTATTGTACTTTTCCTACAGGCCGGTTCTCGTGTTCGCGATACTCAAAACAAGAATATCAACAGCTCCAACCCCAGTCAGCTCATCCATTACTGTTGCGATCTTCTTCTTCTCAACCATCGAACTGACTGCCACCCAGCCTGTTTCCTCTAATGCGTTGATGGTTGGTGCTCGCTTGCCGGGGGTGATTCTTGATGCTGCTTCGAGGTTTGTGCGTTCAACGTTGTATTGGCATAGTACGTATTTTTGAGCAGCTATACAATATCAATAAGGGTCGGAAACTGAGACGGAGCTCGCTTACTGATGACACCTCTAATTCTCGAGGCAATCAAGTCGACTAACTGTTGATTAGACTGGTTCTTGGAGCGTACGAGAATAGCTGTACTCGATACGACTGTATCGATTGCTGTTAAGCCGGCAGCCTTCATTGTCTCTCCAGATTCTGGTCATGGTCAGCTCTCACGCCAGACAACCCACCATTCACGACCTACCAACAAGATCCACAATTCCGTCCGCGACACCAAGCGCACATGCGGCTTCAACACTTCCGCTCAACTCGATGATCTTCGTTTTGAGCTTCCGAGGTCTGTCCCCGCTGGTCTGTCCAACAACCGCATCTGCCTCTAACTTTGCAAAATAGTCCTCGGCCAGATGGACGAAGCTAGTTCCAATGTTCTTCCCAATCAGATCAGACGGCTTGATATATTGCCCTTTCCCCGGCACCTGAACTTGTAGCTTGCAAGATCCGAAACCCAGATCCATCACCTCCTCACAACCGAAATGGCCATCATCTTCAACCGGCGTTGTGCTGCCAGATTCTGCCCGTTCCCTCCTCGATTGCTGTACGCCAGCTTCATGCTCGGCAACGGTGTCCCGGCCAGTTATACCAAGACTGACTCGGCCCTCTCCAACGAAGGTGGGGATATCTGCTGCAGGGAGGAAAACGAGGGCGATGGGGAGATTCTTGACGAGCGCAATGTCGAGTCGTGACTCTCGTCGGAATTGGATATCTGCACCTTCAAGAAGATTGAGTGCTGCCTGCAGTAGTCTGCCCTCTAATTCAAATCGTCAGACTAGATTCCTCTTCAGGAGTCTGAGAGCTTGACTCACTCTTGGGAACGGCAAAGAGCAATCTGCCTTCTAGGCTTGAGGAGCTGTTAGTGAGGGTCCCGTAGAGCTGTGTTTCCTGGAACGCGGGCATTTTGATATATTCTTACTGGTTGACGAGGTCCATTGCGAATATTATAGTATCTTGAGGGAGGGCGCTCTTCTATTTCACCACCGAGCTTGCCGATCGCGCGGTATTTTGCGCGGGTTACTGCTTTCTGGTTGCAAAAGGCCGCAGACTTTGTGCGGCACTAGAATAGTACATATGAGGATCGACTTCTCACAGGTGGTTTTTTCAACCAAGACGTAGGCCGTTGAAGACGTGGGTTTTTCCAAAAGGTAGGAAGCGAACGGAGTATTATTGTTCGAGGGTTGTCGTTGTAGCGTTGTAGCAGGAAGGATTATATTCGACCTGAGCTTGAGCTGCCCCACGTTGACGACTGGCGGGGTCTCGAGGAGTCCCAAAGGTTATCCGCAGTACCAGCGAAATGTGACGTTGGGATGGTGTTCTGGCTTTGTTGTGAGGAGGGCTGCAACTTGATGATCAGAAGTGCTCGTCGCCTTCCTTAACATTCGTTGTATATGTTTAATGAACTGACTTGACTGCATAGTCATATAACAAGTACCGTAGATCAAGGTAGCCTTGGAAGATGGAAGAGAACCTCCCTTGGTCTGAGATTGAAGATCACGTGAGATTATCTACTCGCTAGTCCCCTTGCGGGTATCGCTAAATAAGCCCTCTGGCGAGATCGCACTCAGAATTTCGCAAAGTCCGAGATCATCCAAACCTCAACCACACACTTCACATCCACGCCATCCACACAGTCAGTACCTGCGGAACCTGTTAAAACAGAACCCAGAGACTAATCCAAACCAGATCGCCAATATGGATTCCTCTAAGGTCCCCGTTAAGCTTGTGAAGGTCATCCGTATCTTGGGCCGTACCGGTACGTTTTGCCCGATCGCAAACGCGAGACGGAGGATACTTTGGGGCATGTGGCATATGTGAAGGAAAGGTTCTGATGGATCATGTTCTAGGTTCCAGAGGAGGTGTTATTCAAGTTCGCGTCGAGTTCATGGACGACACCACCAGAAGCATCATCCGCAACGTCAAGGGCCCAGGTACGGATATAACTTCGCATTTCCTCGCAGACATGAATCATACATTATTCCGAAGAGGGGCAGGAACATGGACGACGAAGACGCAGAAGCTAACGTTGAACCTACAGTGCGCGAAGACGACATTCTCTGCCTGCTCGAGTCCGAACGTGAGGCCAGAAGATTGAGATAAGGGATCAGGTTCTTGGAGTCGGAAAAAAATCGGACGGAATTCTTCTGGGTCACTGTGCGAGCGATTTGCTGCTGGGACGCTTGTACTATGAGATCTTTGCGACTGGAGAAAGCTGAGGCAGTTCTCGCGAATAGAAGGCTCTTGAACAGCTACGATATGGACTTGCGCATGTGAGAAGCTTAGTGGTGATGTGTGGTGAAAAGGAAGAGGGGGCATAATCTGGGCTTTTGGCATCTGCGGATCTATTTGACTATGTAACCCATTCGACATTCGATCCTCCATTCGACATACAACCACTCCACAGTACGGACCGACCTCGACGAACATAAGTTGGCCAGTGCAGCACCAAGCATCCAGCCAAGTGGTGTGGACAATCCTTCCTAACTAATTTCCTTCGTCCTCGTCCTTATCGTAAAGGCCAGCAGAGCAGAGCCCGCAACGAAAAAGACCGTGTCCGTCCCCTGCATCGCACCCAAGTTCCGACACGGCCATGCTCTTCAAGAAAGTGACTTGGAATATATCACTCCCTGGGTTTAGGAGGCAGATAGTCTAGAGATCAACAGCTGTACCAGTCAGGCTCAGGACCAGAGAGACCACGACAGTAACTAGAGAATGCAGATCGGCCACCAGAAGTCATATATCCAGGCCTCTCCAAAGAATTCAGAACAGCACAATAAAAATACCCAGCCTATTTCATGGACAAAGAAATAGTCACACCGGCCTCCGTTGACGGTTTGGAAGAGAAGTCCTGCGTCATTAGATAGCCCAGATTCGAGATCGGTGTAATTGTTTACACTTCGCCTCGGTAAGATGCATCTCGCTTCCAATCGACGAATGATAAAGCCAAATGGAGAGAAGAATTGCGAAAGTTGTTAGCCATGGTACGGCTGTTTCTAACGAAAATGCGGAGTCGCATTTGACTCTCGGAATCTTGGGACGGCTTCCACGAGAAGAATGCATGGAGCGTCTTCGTTGTTTTTCGCCCGGTGAGTTGCGAAGAGCCGGTCCATTTCCAGTTTCAGGGTGACTGACGGATTCGCGAAATGCTCGCATCATCGAAAACCGAAAACTTCTCTCGGCCAGCTACAATCGTTCCGTTCCGTGCCATGATCATCCCAATCCCTTCAACAACCAATCACCGCTCCTGTAGTGCAAGTAGCCTTGCAAGACGGCCGACGACGCCTGAGCCACCGACACCGACAGGATGCCTGCGAGCCCTCGTCGGCGGCGACAAAACATCGGATTTCTATGTATTGACATATCAGACCTCCGTCCCTTCTCTCTGATATACGTTTTTGGCTATCTCCGCCCTTTCCGACACTGCAGTCAGCAAATGTTTGAAAAACCTCCCTGAAACTGCTCATGCTACACATCAATATCCTGAGGACCGAAGCAAGCAAGCAAGCAAGCAGGACCTGGGATTCGATCCAGACCTAAAATTCTTGGAACCGCCACGTTCCGCTGGTAGATTCCAATGACTTCTTATATGTAGGCAGTTGAAAAGACGTCAATCATCTATCAATTCTGCCAATTCAGTCTACGCTCTTGTCACTCTTTGGCAACCGGCAGTTGGTAATTGGTAGATTTCCACCCCGCCACCTTACCCCAGTGCCCGAGACAACCATACACGACCAGATCTGCGATCTGCGAGCTCTCACGATGTCTGGCTTACCTTTCAAACCCGTCACCGTCTCTTCAGCACTAGGGTCGGTATATCTAGTACGGTACCGACCAGATTTACTGCTCTTCTCACGGCCGAGTTACGTGGGGACCTTTGTGCAACTATGGGCCCTTTCATTCTCGTTGTGGGCGTTCTACAAAGTTGTTCTATATCCCAAGTTTTTCTCGCCATTGAGGCACTTCCCTACACCTCCTGGGGGTAGCTGGTGGAACGGGCATTTTGATCAGATCAAAGCCAATCCCACGGGTGCGCCACAGAGTAACTGGTTAGTACGAAGGCAGAGAATACAGAGGACCGATGGCTAATCGCGATTCACAGGGTCAATACCGTGCCTAATGATGGTATCATTCGGTACATGGGAATGTTCAACTCTGAGCGTCTGTTTATTACCAGCCCAAAAGGTCTTGGCGAGGTTCTCACCACCCGGAACTATGATTTCGTCAAGCCATCACAGGTCGCTGCCGGACTAGGACGGCTGCTTGGTATTGGTGTTCTGCTGGCCGAAGGCGACGAGCACAAGGCGCAGAGAAAGAACCTCATGCCAGCATTCGCCTACAGGCACGTCAAGAACCTCATCCCCGTCTTCTGGGAAAAGTCATGCGAGGCAGTAAACACAATGGCAGTCGAGATCAACGCGGGCGGCATTCCTGACAAAGATCTCCCGGAAAAACACAGACGACCAGAAGGCGCACATAAGGAGGCCATTATGGAAGTAGGGGAATGGGCAAGCAGAGCTACCCTTGACATTATCGGCCTGGCAGGAATGGGACAGGACTTTGGAGCCGTCAAGGACCCCGAAACGCTGCTGAACCGCACATACAGAGTCGTGTTCAAGCCGTCGCGACAAGCTGCCATTCTGGGCCTGCTCAACATTTTCCTACCCGGCTGGATCGTGCGCAACCTGCCCATCAAGAGAAATGGAGAGATCGACGCAGCGGCAAGCGTGATTCGCACAATCTGCCGTCAGCTGATCCGCCAAAAGAAGGAAAAGTTAGAGAAGAACGAGCTCACAGATATCGATATCCTCTCCGTCGCCATCGAGTCCGGGGTGTTTGCAGAAGAGAACCTGGTTGATCAAATGATGACGTTTCTCGCCGCCGGACACGAGACCACCGCGACAGCCATGACCTGGGCTATCTACATGTTGTGTCTCCACCCCGACGTTCAAGAGAAGCTGAGGGCGGAAGTTAGAGCGAAGCTACCGAGCCCTACCGCCGGCGAGACAGTGACGAGCCAGGATATCGACCACATGCCCTACCTCAACGCCTTCTGCTCAGAAGTCCTCCGGTACTACCCACCCGTGCCCCTCACGCTCCGCGATTCCGTCCACGACACCACCATCCTGGGCCACTCGATCCCCAATGGAACGCGCGTAATGATCATCCCGTGGGCCATCAACAAGTCGAAAGCCCTCTGGGGCGAGAGCGCAGGCAGGTTCGACCCGGACCGTTGGCTACCGTCGGAGAAAAACCCGCACTCGGCAAATGGGGGCGCGCAGTCTAACTACTCGTACCTGACATTCTTGCACGGACCGCGGAGCTGTATCGGGCAGGCCTTTGCGAAGGCAGAGTTCATGGCGCTTCTGGCGGCGTGGGTGGGCCGCTTCGAGTTTGCGATTAGTGATGGGGAGGAGTTGGATGAGGGCAGTGTCTTGATCAAGGGCGGGGTGACGGCGAAGCCGGCGAAGGGGATGTATGTTAAGACAAAGGTTGTTGAGGGATGGTAGGCGGCAGTAGAGAAGGATATGGAAGGGATGGAAAGAGGTTTGAAGTACAGGCTGGGTGCATTAGACCAGGCTGATTTGAAGTAATGGGTCACTTTAGTTGTAATGTAGAGAGAACGGGGTATCATAATAAATGCATCACACACACACACACACACATATATATATCCACACATACATCAATATATACACCCATAAATCATCTCTCTCACCTACCAAGCCCGCCTACCACCAGCCAGACAAACCCAAAGACAATCAACCCCATCCCCTCTCCCCTCTCCCTCCCTCCCCCTTCTCAAAAGAGGAGAAACACCATATTCAGCGGTACTACCAATAAAAGCCCGCAATTAAGTAAGCACCGTAGCCAACTATAAACTGTACCCAAGCAAGTAAGTAAAACAAGTAAGTAATTCAAGCAAGTAAATCAAGCAAGTAAATCAAGTAAGTAAATCAAGTCAACCATCCAAATCAAATTAAATCAACACTTACATTAAAGATCAGGGAGATCAAACAGTGAACTCCCCAAGGAAAAAGGTTTCGCTGATGAATGAGTGAATGGATGAATAAATGGGCTTACGGGTTGCAGATTGCAGTTTTTCATTTTACGTTCCAAGCCTGATCGATTCTAGACGCGGCTAGTTCGTGAGTACCCGTAAGTATAGTTGTAGTTTGGAGTTTGGAGTTTCAAGATCGATTTCCAAAACGGGTTCATTAATTAAGCGAGTGAGGAAACGGAAACGGGACTCGCTTGCTGAATGTTCGGCTCAGCTTTGATGTTGAAACGCGCATCGTGTGTTGCATGTCGTAAGTCAGGCGCTGGGATTGGAGTCCTTGTACTACTAGATCGTCGGTGACACATTCATTGCATTCTACAACTCGCGTGCCTTTGTGGTTTGAGTCACTAATCGAATGGTATCCGCCTAAGTGCCTGCCCCCCTACCCCCCGCTTCTTCGCCTCTAATGCAGCAGCAACACTGCTCGGCACCTTGATCCCGCAACAGTCTCCCCAGCTATTCATCTGATGCACATGTCTCATGCCATCAACCATAACCACCGTCTCGCCCCCCTCAGGATCTTCCTCTTCACTAGGAACACCATACTCCTCTTCCGTACTCATCTCCTCCACAGCCGGTATCATACTTCCGAATAAAAAGTGCTGCATGACGGGAAGTTTCCTGAGCACTTCGGCGACGAACATGCGCCGCATACCGGCTTCGACTTTAATCCATGACTTCGCAGACGAGATGTCGTCGAGCATGGGGCTATGCCAGCGCAGCCCTTCCACATTCTTGACGCTGTTTACGAAGTTGACTTGCCCAAGGTAGAGGTAGTCATTGCCGTATTCCTCCAGGGTGAGGTTTTGGTGGATTGAAAGGGGACGGATGAAAGGGTGGTGTAAAAGCTGCGAAGACCCGAAGAGGAAGGGAAGGAATTGGTAATCATCCAGTCCCCAAACGCCATGCGAGCCTGCAGGTTCAAGATAGTACGTCGATTGTATGATCCGCATCAGCGACAGGTACTGCGTGAAGACTCTAAGCACCAGGGCTTTGAAATCGGAGCGCGTAACGATACCGAGTTGGTAAAGGCAGAGCAGCCAGAGCATGAAGTTCAGCTCGTGCCCGGAGCCGTAATCTATGCGTGTGCGGTTGCCGAAGGATTGCAGGAGGTAGGTGGAGAGTTCGGTGATGGCGGAAGAAGAGGTGATGCCGAGCTGCTTGTGCCATTCCGTGTGTTCCTCTGCTGCCAGATCGAGGAAATCGCGGAAGCCTTTGTTGCCGAAGCGGGAATCGCCTTGTTCTTCAGGTGGGCTGCGGTGGACAACGTCTTGCACTTTGGTGAGGATGTTGAGGAGGGTTTTAACGGCTGGGCTCAGGTCGCTGTCATGGATAGCGGAGGCGGGGGTGTCGACGACGGATTCGGTGAGGCTGAAGACGAAGGCTACAACAAGCTTGTAGGTTGGTGAGGCGAGGAACAGATCATGATCTTTGGAAGAGAGGATGCGTCGCGAGGGTTTCTTGAAGGTTAAGGTCGAGAGGTCTGGCGGGGAAGGTAGATCTGGGGTCTCGGGCACAGGAATAGGGTTCGACGCGGGTTGTTGTCGGCGACGAGGTTCCAGTTTCGGCAGACGGTCTCGCAGATTCGGTATGGCCGCAGCCGGCTTATCGTTTGGCGTAACCGACTCTGTCGTTGAAAGCATTTGGATATCAATTTTTTGTTGTTGTTATTGTTGTTGTTTGGTTGGAAGGAAGTCAAGAGACGAGAGCTCAAGCTCGACGATCTTCAAGTAGGTCCTGCGGGGCTCCCCCCACTTAGCGGGGCCCCACCAAAGCTGTCTACCGGTCTCCGTATAGCTAGGAAAAGTTTATTAACTTGCTGTATATGCAAGTTTTGTTTACAAAGTCGGATCCCTCACAGCCAGCCGCGAAGACATTTCCGACCTGCTTTCATCATTCTCTTAACATGGTGCACTCTACAGAACCCACCGCAATACTGTCACATCTCCACCGTACTGACGGCTCTGCAACCTTCTCGCAAAATGGTTACACGGTCATCGGCGCGGTCAATGGCCCCCTCGAGATCCAACGACGAGACGAGCTCCCAGAGGAAGCTGCTATCGATGTACTGGTTCGACCCGCGGCGGGTGTTGGGAGTATAGATCCACTGGAAATATTCATACCGGTACATTGTATCTGACTAGTCGTACAGGTACACGGGAACGACATCTTGAATCAATCCTGCAATCGACTCTGCGCCACATCGTACTCATTCACAACTTCCCCCGAAGCCTCATACAGATTACTCTCCAAATCACAAGTACGCCAGAGAGCGACAGCGCAGGTTCGAAGTTAGTACAGGCAAGCTCGGTACAGAAACATTGCCCATTTTCCAAGATTCGAGGCTAATACCTGGAACAGAATCTACCCATCCTGCCCGCCCTACTTCAAACCGCCACACTTGCCCTATTATCGGCCTCGATGCCTCTCTCCATGACATTGACTTCGGTCTATCTTGCTCTTTCCCCAGAGGGTATTATCAGTAATCCCACGCCCCTCCAGTCTCAAAGCGCCAGCTCGAACCACGTTCTGGCCTTCACATCCAATGGGGACTTGTTGGTCGCGGAAAGTGAAGGAAGCTTCACGCTGAAAGATTGGGAGGGTGTTTATGAGGCGGGAAAAGCAATTTGCTGCGACAATTCTGGAGCTCACGGAGACTATGCCATGGGTGATGACGAGAAGGATGTGAGCTTGAGTGTGTTTCTAAAGTCCACCCTGGAAGAGAAGATCAAGACGGACCTCCAATGGAAGGATTGAATGTTACGGAGGCTATTGGTGTTCACACATTGGATGGAAGGCTTAATCGTTACCATCTCCATGGCCAAATAGCGTTTTATCGCGCCTGTCAACCATGATCTTCCCGCGCTCTACGACGGCGCTATCTGAAAGGAAAGCAGCAAAGACATGATTGCCAAGGTCGGGAGGAATATTGGCGGTCAAGATCCCCAGGAAAGCTAGGAACAGACCGCTGGTCTGAATCATGATTCATGAATGGAGGTTTTAGGCTTCCAAATAGAGAAGTGACAGAAGATTGAGGGGTCTGATTGTTGGGCAGGGCATTCCGTAGCGAGAGGCGGCCTGAGCGATCTGAGCCCCTGACATGAGGCGAAGTTTCACGCTTTCTGAATCTCCAATGGAAGTACCTAGTGAACAGCTTCTCTTGGTGATATTTACCAGGACCACTGGGAAATGTTGATACCAGGACAAGTGATTGCAGGATGTGATGGCTTTCGTGATGGCTTCCCTCCTTGGCCGGGTGCTGTGAGGGTTGAGCCACCTTCGCACTGAGAGCGACTGGTAGACGCCTAAGTGTTTGATGGACCGGCGATGATGCATACCCGCCAGCTTCCACCACTGGCTGATACCTGTCGCCGCCAGAAGACTTCGAAAACGTTAGTCTGTCGCGCCCGTGATTTCTTGAGACGATGACTTGTCGAAACTCGCCTCCAGGAGCCAGAGCCCACTTGCTTGCTACACGAGCTCCCGAGGCAATGCAAGGTAATGGCAGTCAGTACCGGTAGTCCTCTAAACATATTATAGATAAGTTTACAGCTTTCACATTTTGGGACGTTGTTCTGGTCTGCAGTCTCCCTCCTCCCACCACCAAGCAGAGCTCTGGCAGCTTGTACGTACTTGTGCGCATCTTCTGTTCTGCTCGTCTCTTTATTATTTCCTCCGTCACCTCATCATGCTCACTATTTGTCTGTCTGTACAACTTCCTCATTGATTGTTGCTTCATTTCTTAGGGCGTTTCTTCATTTATCAACAGACACTTACCTTCTCTCTCGATGCCCGCCGCGGCAACGTTTACCAATCTATCATAACTCGTCACTTTCTACCCATTTCCTTCCTACCGTCTGTCTGTCTTCTTTACCCAACTGGCTTCCTGCACTTATTGCAAAGGCCGTCGCAATCGCCATTACGGAAGTAAGCTCCATGATTCTCGCTTGGGTGATACAGCTGTAGTGTAGCTGCAACCAGTAAGTAGAGTTTAATCTTGCATCTTGGATATGCTTCTCCGTCGATTCCTGTCACGACCACATCACCTCACTTTGGTGCGACTTTGAGGCTTGAGGATTGATGGCGGAGACCATGCTGAGTCTGAGTCTGGCTAAGGATCTGGCCCAATCTTCCCGTCAAGATCATATCACATCAGAGCGACAGACACCTTTGGGGCAAACTGATTGCTGACGGCCGGGATAGATTCAAGCTTTGTACTAGCATCAGACAATGATCGATCAGCTCCGGTCGGCTGTAATCTAATCAATCCGCACAACGACTGATATACTACGTACTACGTACCTACGGACTCCGGGCTGAGCGCTAAGGACGATATCAATCGAAGATCCCTAGGATGGCATTGAATTAGCTGCTTGCTTTGCCTGCCTTGAATTGATTACACGCATCTTCTCTCCGGGTCATCTCATCGAACAAGCCGGACAATAACCCGGACAAACTTTCATCCTCACCGGCGTCGTCCGTCTCATCTACCTACCTAAGTCAGCCAGCTCAAGACTTTTTATCGACACACACCCCCCGTCCTTCCATCAAAACCCTCGGCCTCCACTCTCCCCTCCCATCATGCCCGACATTTATTCTCCCACCTCAATCCACCCTGCACTGACCGATCCCAATAATCTCCCTCTCCGTCCCTCTCTCCCTCACCCTCTCCCTCTCCCTCTCCCCGGCATCGATGAGGCCTCTTCTCAACACCATTCCCCCCAAGACGCTTCGTCTCGCGCACCTACAACTACAAGGAATGGATTGAACGTGCCTTGCAGTATCGGAGACAGTCTCCTTCGCGATTACACACATCAACTCGGCCAATTGAATACCAAATGCGACGTTGACCATGATCCTTCTGAATCGTCGTTCTCTGCCGCTTCTACAGTAGGCCAGAATTCGCCGAGCGACTCTGCATCATTGCCTGCCTCTCCGATATTCCCGACCCGACGATCATCAAAGACTCCCAGATTCACGCACCGCAAGAACACCCTGTCCGTGGAGTCAATCCCGAAACAAACAATCCTCAAGGCATTGGCCTCGACAGAAAGGAACCCCAATCCCCAGAATCTGTCGCTGTCCGGCATGATATCAGCACATAATCAAATGGCCAACCGGCCCGGGTCTGCTACATCCCAGAAGTTATCTGCCGCCCTCTCGGACCTCGCGATCCGAAATGGCACCCCTACAACCCCCCGATTCAAACCATTGCAGTCTCCCTGCTTCTACCACGAACGTTTCGATGACGTGCTGAATATTGGGAAGGTGCTGGAGGAGATTAGGGGAAACGAATGGATGTCGCACTCACGATTGCTTGCGACTGCGACTGGGGTCCGGGAAATATCCAAACAATTACAGCGTCGTCCTATAAAGCGGGCTGTGCGCAATGTCATGATCGTCACGAAAGCCAGGGACAACCAATTGGTACATCTGACGAGGGAGCTTGCGACGTGGCTGATGGCAACCCCCAGATATGGGTCGGAACTGGGCGTTAATGTTTACGTGGATGCCAAACTACAGAAATCCAAGCGCTTCGGCGCCAGCTCGTTATTGGAGGAGCGTCCTCGCTTCCAACATTTATTGAAGTACTGGAAACCAGACATGTGTCGGAACCAGCCAGAGAAGTTTGACCTGGTATTGACTCTCGGTGGCGACGGGACAGTGCTCTTCACCTCATGGCTCTTCCAAGGCATTGTCCCTCCCATTCTATCCTTCAGCCTCGGTAGCCTGGGGTTCCTGACCAACTTCGAATACGACAAGTTCAAAGACCAATTGAACAAGGTCATGGGCGAGGAAGGCATGCGAGTCAGCATGCGTATGCGTTTCACGTGCACAGTCTTCAAAGCCGGTGGACCTGGAATGGATCCGGACGAGGCAGAGCAATTCGAGGTCCTTAACGAGCTTGTCATCGACCGGGGACCATCGCCTTACGTCTCCAATCTCGAGCTCTACGGTGATAACGAGCTCCTAACCGTTGTGCAGGCGGATGGCTGCATATTTGCCACGCCTACAGGCTCGACGGCCTACTCTCTGTCAGCAGGCGGCTCCCTTGTACACCCCGACATTCCCGCCATCCTCCTCACCCCCATCTGCCCTCACACACTCTCATTCCGTCCTATGGTCCTCTCCGACACCCTTCTCCTCCGTGTCTCCATCCCTCGCAATTCTCGCGCTACGGCCTACTGCTCCTTCGATGGCAAGAACCGTGTAGAGCTGAAGCAAGGCGATCACATCACCATCGCCGCGTCACAGTACCCCTTCCCAACCGTCATGAAATCCGGCTCAGAATGGTTCGAAAGCGTCTCCACATCCCTGAAATGGAACACCCGCGGCGCCGCCCAAAAGGGTTGGGACGGCCTCGAGGAAAACCAAGAAGAGGAGATGGAGTGGGACATTGACTTCGACGACTCTGCATACGGCACTGAAGAGAACAGCTCAACTGCTAGCCCCTTGCGGAAGAAACTATTGTCCAATGACATTTAAACTCTGCACTCTTTGGACTCCTGTTCTCATGTTTGGATATTGTCCATGGGCTTTACTTCTAGCCGGGTATTTGTGATTTTAAATCTGTGACAATTACATTTACGTTGCGTCACGAGCTGGATGTTTTGGCGGTTGCGTGCGCTTCTTCGGGGTAACAATGTTATAAAACTCAAGATACCTACTTACTTATATTGATGGTCTACTCATGATGGTACGACGACTAGAAGAGAGAACTCTGTGTATCTCTGAATACGAGGTGGTCTGATCGCTGGCTCTGCTAGTACTCAGACCTATACCCACTTCTCCTGTCTATACATTCGTCGTCGCCTGTGTGTCGTATTATGACACTGCTATCAGACCTGCGAGAAGATGCTTTGTCTTTCGGACCTTACGGAACTGGTGCTGCTGAGATTGAACATTTTTAAAGTTTTTTTTTTTTTTTTAGAAAAACAACCCCCTCCTTCCTCCAATCGGTCTTCCTAATTCCCAAAGAAAGCCCATCCCGTCATCTCCCGCTTCAAGATATTCCGCCAGTTCTTTGCTACCAAAAACGGCTCGCGAAATATGATCATTGAGAAGCGCGGGAATAAGAGGTTGCGAAGTAGAGGAGCTGCTACCATTTATGTGAATATATATATATATAATCTCGACGTCCAATTCTAGAGAATGGATAATACAGAATAATACAGACGCAATTATGCCTGCGAATCTTTCATCTCCTCTAGTAATCTGCCATCTTTCTTCCTCTAGCCCTTCGTCATCTCAATTCTTAAATCCGTGATAAATGCATGTCTTTTATTTAGTTCTTCAGAGGGGGGGGGGGAGAGGAAGAGCTCTCTCCCCCCTCCACTCCGCCCCTCCCGCTCTCAACAACTAAAGACCGAAGACTAATAAGCTTCTCCATTCCAATCAATATCCAGGCCGCCTGCCCGTCCGCCCGTCTTTGATTCTAACGCGACGCGTACCGGCCGCCACTCTACGAAGCGAAGGTTCAAGTGCTATTCTCAAAGGAAATAGATGATATAGAACAAACCAGTCTGTTGAGCCGGGCTTGAGACCAAGAGCGTGTCTTATTCCGGAAATATATATGTGTTTATTAAATTAAATCTCAATTTACCCCCCTTGTTCCCCCTCCCCGCCTCGCTTATACCCACGTGATTTTTTTGTCGGCGAAAGAAGAAGGAAGGGGGCCAAGCGAGAAACAAAAGAAGGCTGAGAAATTTCGCCGAGCTGCAACATACTAGACGACGCATCTTTTCCCTCTCGTGCTATTCCATTCTCTTGCTTGCAGCTGCAAGCTTGCACAGTGACACTCGCTTACCGATTACGTATGAATATGAGTGTGAGTGTGAGTGTGGCTCTGATCACGACGTGAAGATATAAAGATCTTTCTTTTATTTTGATTTTTGCTTGGCTTCATGCTTTTGAGGGTATACGTGCGGCAGAGAAGATCTCGGGAGGAGAGAAGGAGAATTTGTTGGGCTAAATATGTTTTTTGTTTGTTTGTCTTTGTGTGTGTGTGTGTGTGTGTGTGTGTGTGTGTGCGCGTAGAACGCCATCGCTATGCTGGAGGAAAAAACCCCATCGCTGTGCTTGCTGGTGCCGAGACCAGCAACCGCCCCGTGTATTCCCGGGATGTTGATATTAAATGATGATGGGTGCGTGTGGACGCATGGTGTTGTGGATATTGATGTTGTCTGTAGTGGTGTTAAGAATATTGGATCTCGGTCCTGCTTGTCGTGTCGTAGCCTGGAAAAAAAAAAGGAAAAGAAAGAAAGAAAGAAAGAAAGAAAGAAAGAAAGAAAGAAAGAAAGAAA